AAAAGAAAATAGATTATCTTGTAATGCCGAACCTTTTTATCTATTTCCCAGGCAAACAAGGTCCCTATATACATAAATGGGCATGAGCACTGTCTGGAACACATCAATAACACTGGAAGGTAAAAACAAAGATCTACCAGAAAATATCATTTCACATACTAACATATGTAATTCAGCAATAGCCGAACTTTTACTGCAGCCCAATCGAGTTCCTGACAAGTGGAGGTGGGTCGAGAGCATGGGGAAACATTACTCATCATGAAAAACACAAGAACAACTTCAACTTCTACTATAGCGGGCAGGATTTCATTTCAGTTCAGGTTACAAGAAGGGAAGCAAAAATGTCTTTCCATGATGTCTTTGCCAAAATCCTGCATAGCTTTATGTTGACGAAATATGGTGGGAATAACAGAATCTCAATTTCTGCACCCATGTACTAACCTTCCCCAGAATCAAGTTTATGAAATCCAAATACAGCAGAGGTCACAACATAATATAATTTCAAAACAACAAAATACTTACAGAGATGATCCTTATACTATGTTACTTATGGAATAAATATTTATCCAATTAAAGCACCATGCTTTGCCACAACAAATAAAAATCCACGGCAAACAGCATTATCAAAACCGAAAAATTAAAAGTTGGAATCCACAAATAAATCCAACAGGCATTTCCCATTTCCCACTGTATATAAACAAATCCCTCTTACTCAGCAGCACTGTCATCAACAACACAAATTAAAAAAGACAAAACAAGTATGCATATGTACAGTCAAATAGAGCAACACACACCAGTATTTTAGCCATCCCACAAAACCAAAGCTCCAATCACGCCCTTCTCTTTATTCTCAAACCCCGCTTCTCAATTTGTAACAAAATGGTACCTTGAGTCAACATAGCTCTCAACATCCCAAAGAAAAGAGCCGAAAGTCACAGCTTCCAGAACAAGCCGCCTCAGCCCACCAAAGCTAACCTTAATCTGCTCATCTTTCGAGGGGTCAACATTCCCATCGGCTGTGAAATTAACTTCGGGCCTACCAAACAGAGCCTCTGTATGTTTCTCAACAATACTAATAGCCTCCTTTGACCGTATAGTCGCGTACCTCTGAAGAGTCTCCCCATCAAACGACATCACATAACTCCTCAGCCGACAAGGTTTTAACCCAACAAAACCACCTGAAGAGACTTCTGGAAGACTCTTATTGTCCATCATTACTTCTTCGGCAAGACTCTCTTCACCGACCATACCTTGGGGAAGGATTTTCATTGTCTTTTCCAACTGAAATCTTTGATCGACCCTCTTAAGGAAATAGCCGTACATGATGGAAGCTGCATACACCTGGCCAACCCTGAGTTTGCTTATTTGGGCGGCAGAGTTAGAGTCACTGAGTCGGTTCCCGAGAATGAGGGTGAGATGGTTCTGAATCATCTCGTAAGCTTCGGGAGAGTGGAGATGCTCGAGTTTATGGTCTTCGGGGGGATGCCATGTGTCCACACGTCCAGAGTTGTTGGGCGGAGATCGGGCGATTGATGGGACCATGGGAACTTCAGCATCCATGAATTTTTTTACCACTAGGGCATACAGTATTTCTTCTAAGGCCCTTTTCCTTTCATTAGCTTTCACCTCCGCAATTCTCCTGCAACCAAAAAAAATAATCAAACACAAACATAGACCGTGGTTGGAGAAAGTGATTGAGAAACATTTAAATATATAAAATGTTTCACAAGAAAATTATTTTCCTCTGACATAGTTTTTTTTCTTTTTTACCAGTTTGTTAAATAAATAAAAAACAATTTTCATGCTCTCTCTCTCTCTCTCTCTCTCTCTCTCTCTCTCTCTCATATTTTTCCCATCACTGATCATATCTGCACAGTTCTTCAAATAGAAGAATTCATTGTTAACTATTATATGTGTTTGAACAAAGTTTAATATTCACCCACTAAATGTGAATGAAATCGTGAATAAAGATATCTGATTGTATTCTCAAATTCATCAAGTTTCATTAAGAAAAACATTTCCACCATGTTAAAGAAATAGAAACTCGAAAGTGAGATCATATCAAACCACACCTTTAAACTACAAAAAACCATGCACTTTCTAATTCAAGCCCATTCATGAGGTGAGACTTTCTAAGATTTTCGTACTGTTTTATACGCAAGTCTGCCCATTAATCTTACATAGCAATTTAATATGACTCGCATGACCCACATCATGGGTCGAACTTGAAGTACTTTGGCATAGAAAAGCTGCAAACCTGTAAACCTGTAGTTCCAATTTAAAAATAAAAAAAATAAAAAAATAAAAAAAAACCTGCAAACCTGTATAACACAAGATCAGTGCCAGATGCAGCTGGCTCCTCTTTCTCTTTCTCAGCATCACGATCAGTTTGCAGCTGCTTGAGCTGCTGCTCGACTGCAGCTGGGACAAGATGTGGGTGGCTTACAAGTATCTCTGACAGGAATTGGCCAATTGGAGACTCCAGCTGAAGAGGTGCAATAGGAGCAGACGAGCTTGCAGAATTCGAAGGCTGCATACAGGCTGTGATTGTAGACCATTTCCTGCTCAAAAGGTTTACTTTTCTGTTGTTACTCTTCGCTGCAGAAATTGAATGTCTTTGCTGCAAATACACCATCCCAAATGAAAATTGGATCGATAATGAAAACTTACTTACACATAAGATAATTCTAGTTTGTCAATGAAGTAATCCAAAAAACAGTAGATGCATTACTTTAAAAAAATTAAACCCGTATGAGTCAGTAACAAACATATAAACAAGAAGGCTCAAGAACAAAAGAGAAACAAGCCAATAACAAAAGAGGAACCTTGTTGTTCGTCGTCCCATCACAGGATCATTCGAAAATACATAAAACTCCGGTACAAAGTTATTCAATGATGTTTAACAAATTTTAATATTTTGTAATTTACTTTAAATAAAGCATACTCAAGAACTGGAACAAAAACTGCAGCAAACAAACAAAAATAGACAAAATTTGAGGAAGGAACAAAATCAAATTGAAAATTCTTAAAAAGGGCCACCAAGTAACATAACATAATTCATCTATTCCCACAAAACCATACCAGATGAGAAAGGAACAACACCTGAATCAAGGCGTTAGAAGGCACGCGCCTTGAGCCGACGCTCAAATCGGGTCGGACCGGGCCCGATCGGTTGCACGACGAATCAGGCGAAAGACTGCTGAAAGAAGCTCGAAAAGCTGCAACAGTTTCCATTCTCAACAACCTACAGCACAAAAATGATTCGAAAGGGCAGATTGATCACGATCCTCCCAATAATTTTTGCAGAAGCCGCACAGCGAGATGTAAAAATCGAAAACAAATTACCTTGATAAGCGACAACCGGCTTTTAGTCTATGTTGAGCTTAGAATGAATTGAGATATTGGTTTGCTGGTTTTGGGCGACTCGCAGACGGCTCTTTTGATATGGGAATTGGGAAGGAATTCATGGGAATCCGTCGTTTTAAAACACTACACGCCTTAAGCTGTGGCCAACTTTTGACTGATGATGAACCATGAAGCAGATCCACTTATTATATTTAATAATTAATAATAAATTCATTAGAAAACTGAATTTTTATGGATCCAACTTTTTTTGGATTTTTTATTTATTTAAAAAAAAAAAAATTAAAACCACATATTCTGAGAAACGTTTTTCAATAGAAAAACGTATTACGTTTTACGTTTTGTTAAAAAAAATTAATTAACGTAATTAACGTAATTAAGTTAATTAAAATGAGATAAAATATATTACCAAAATACGTTTTACTTTAAAAAAACAAAACACGTATTTTTAGAATACGTTTTATAAATAAATTTAATATTTTCAATTTTAAAAAACAAATTTTTTAGAAAATAATATTTGGAAAAATAAAACGTATTTTGAAAATACGTTTTTAAACCTAATTTTTGCCCCCAAATTGATTTTGCCCTAATTTTAGCCCCAAATCGATTTTGCCCTAATTTTACACAGTAAAACGTATTCCCAAAATACGTTTCTGTTATTTATTTTTTTTATTGGTAAATTTAAATTTATAAAACGTATTTACTAAATACGTTTTATAATTACTATTTTTATTTCAATTCCACTATTAAACGAAAAATTATTTTCTTTTTATTTTTCAAAAATATTTGTAAAACATATTACGAGAATACGTTTTTCTAATAAAATTTTATTCGAAAAACGTTTTCCACTTCTTCTTTTTTGTCTACTTATTTTTTTCTTTTTTTAAATAAATAAATCGCCCAACTTTTTTTAGTGTCTTAAAATTTATCAATTGGATAGACTTGAATAATTTAAATATATAAATAATATGATGAGAAAAGATCATATGAGAAAGAAAGATAGTGAAAGAAATAAGAATGAATCTGTACCATTGGATCAATTATATCAATGGACATGATTAAGTCAAATATTAAATACGGTAGTCAAACATGTTATGGCAATTTAGTAATTAAATGATCATATTATCGTCAAATATACATATTTGACCACTTAATAAGGATATTTTGGTCATTAAATACCAACCCCAACACCAAGTGGACCCACACATAACCACTAACCCTCTTTCACACAATTACACATATTAAATCACGCGTACACAGATAGCCACACACACTGATTGCACACACACACACTGATTGGATCTGGCCTCCCTCAACCGCCTCTCGCCGCCCATCTGCCGTCGCCCGCCGCGATCCTCCCGGCTCCTCCTGCCGCCGTCTACATATTCACAGTCCCGCCATACGCCTCACGACCAACGATCGCCGGATTCTCTCCGGCCAAGTCACTGCTAAAACTCCGGCCGAAAATCAGCCCAAAAAAATAAATACACGCCGCCCCGCCGCCCGTCTCAACCACCACTACCGTCTTCTTCCATATGGACAGCCCCGACTCGACGATATGTTTTTCTCGCCGGCAGCTGATGCGGTTGTTTCAAATCAAAAATTCCGGCGTCAGGCGGTGGTCTTTCAAGCTCGACAGATCGCGCCAGCGGCGGTGGTGGCGGATCTCGTCGGATGCTCGCACCAGCGGCGGAGGTGGCGGATCTCGTCGAAGTGCTGGCGCCGCGTAGGTGGTGGAGGTGGTCGGCGGGACATCAATGGAGCGAGCGGCGGTGTGACGGTGGCCGTGCAGGAGATAACGGTGGTTCTGGATGTGGGCATCGACGGTGGCGGGAGAATGACGGAGGAGCAGGAGCTGTGTGTTTCTATGTGTGTCGATGTTGTGAGGTGGTGGAGCAGGAAGCTCCGGCGGCGGCTGCGTGGCATGGAGGCTCCGGTGGCAGTGGCAGACCCCGGGCGGCTGAGTCGGGGCGAGAAATCAGTGGCCGGAAAAGTGACATATTTGTTTGAGGTGATGAGGGACTGCATCTTGAAAATTTGATAAGGCTCAAGGACTTGTATGCAAATTAAAAAAGTTACACACACTTTCAATTTAGTACATGTGTTGAATTTGTAATTTATCATACTTTAATAAATGCACCACATTGATGAGGAATTGCACATTATGGGGTGTGTATATTAACATTAAAATACTATAAAAAATTTTTTATACCAAAATATTAGATTATAATAATTGCACATCTATCATTATATAAAAAGAATAACCTTTTTACAAATTTAGAAACATTTTCCCGCCAAAATCATTAAATATATCTTATATATAGTAATTGTTGGACAAATCTGAATAGGCAAAAAAATCCGCTCAATTGTGTAAAGATTTGTTTCTCTTTTTCCGATTTCTTAGTTTATCGTGTTGACAATAAATATTTGTTTTTCTTTTTCCTATTTTTAGTATAAATTTACACGAGCTTATGTTTTCTGTTACAAAATCCCATTGCATACGAACTTACGTGTTTAAAAAATCTCATCTCTTATCTATACAGATTTGAAAAAATAAAATAAAATAGAAACCAATTCATAATTACTACTAGAAATCCATTATCTTTAAAAAGAAAAAATAAAATAAAATAGAAATCAATTCATAATTACTACTAGAAATCCATTATCTACTTTAAAAAGCTAATTTTCATCGGTCTAATTACTAATATTTTTACAAATATTCTAAGCTAACCATACAAAAAAGTATAATAATAATTTTGAAATGGTGTGTAATCAAATTTTTTTATATTCTCTTATACAAAATAATTTTATATTGTTTGACCATTTAATTTATAAAAGTATTGTTTATCCTCCTCTTTTATTTATAATTATTTTTTTTCTTCCTCTTTTTAAATAGGATCAATAGTAGTTTTCACTTCCTCCATTGACTCAAATTCGAGGTCTATTTATAATATTGTTAATTTAATATTGTTCCCGTGCATCGCACGGGATATACACTAGTTACTAATAAATAAACTGCAGATTAGTATGTGGACGTATGCACTTTAAAATTTTATGTGAAAAATTTAAACATATATTTATGATATAAATGCACATTAATGATATAAATCAAAATAACCAAAACTTTAGTAGTAAAATCATATAATCGAACCGACATATAAATATTTCGAACAAAAAACTTAAGGTTCGATTTCGGTTGATATTGTGCAGTGTGACAGTCATTGATGTGCAAATCATATATCAATATGGTGCATTATTTTAGTTTCTATTGTGCAATATGAGCTGACCGAACTTTCGCCCCATCCAAATACATATTGAACATACTTACTTGTTTTATTCGTTCGGCTCACTAAATTAACCAAAATAACTGAAATAAAATATTATTTATATTATAAAAAATCATATTTATTATTTTGAACATTTTTATATGATTGATAATGCTATTTTTTTGCTACAAAATAAATAATCTATTTTTTAAAAATAAAAATACAAAAAGTAATATTTTTTATAATTAGTTTGTTCGGTTTGGTATCAAACCGAATTAACTGAATTAATAAAAGTAAAAACAGATAATCGAGCCGAAAAATAAAATTTAAAACGAAACGTTTAGTTTGGTCAGTTTCTGTAGTATCGTGCAATACGACAATTATTGGTGTGCAGCCTGTCTAATGGTAAAGTGCACTCACATTGCAGTTATTTTTTAATGATGTATCCCAAAACAACCTAAAAGCAAAATAATTAGTTTATTTTGATATGTTAATTGAATTAACATAAATAATGAAATTAATTTATTATTTATATTATAACAAAATATAATATTAATATTCTATATTTTATAATATTTTTTGCTTGAAAATACGTAATATATTAAATACCAAATTTGATAATGTGCAATCTGTTAGTCATTAATGTGCGATATGTTGGTCACTAATGTGCAATCTGTCTAACACTAATGTGCATTCGAATTGCAGATATTTTTCATAAAAATATATTCAGTGATTTTATATTTTATTTAATATTTATGTTATTTTTTATTGAGTTATAATATAGATATGTATATATATTATAGTGTGTAATTTAAATATTTAGTATATAAATATTATTTAATATTATCTAAAGAATATAATGTGTAATTTAAATATTTAGTATATAAAAATATTATTTTTTATTTTTATTTGGTATTTAGTATATAGATATTTTTATTTAATATTTTTATATTATTTTTTGGTATAAAAATGCATAACATATATGTATAAAAAAATATATGAAATAATATTTTTTATATATTTTTCATGAATTACAAGTTTGGCCGAATGGACTAATTGAAATATTCTCAAAATAGTTGAAATTGCAGTCAAGCCCTTGAGGGTTATCCAATTTTCAAAGCCAAGCCCACCATTAATGATTGTCGAGCTCCTGCTGGGTGGGTGCTGCACCTTGATCGTCGAATCGAAGTAAGGACGCGAGGACGACAGCGGCCGGTGTACGACGGCGCTTCGCGGTGGAGGAGGTCGGAGGCAGCGAGATTAATGGTAGCAAAACCTAGCTCCACCTCCTCCGGCAGCGAGATGGATCCTGACGGTCTCGGTCAGGCATGTGGCAGCTGTAGTCGGTTGGAGTCTGGCTGTCGTATTCCGGGGAGTTAGATGGTGGGGGACGATAGATCGAGGATGGCGGCGGCCTGAGGACGACGGCGGCATATGGCATGACGGACGGCGTGAAGCGTCGTCGTCGTGACGGACAGCGGCGGCAGTGTTTGGAGAGAGCGGGCGGAACAGCGGCGGCGAGCAGTGGCGGACTGACGGATGGCAGCACTTGGATTTTCACCGTGACGGCGACTGACGGGCGGTGGGGGTACGGGTGGTGACGGCAACTGACTGGCGTGGCGGCAGCTGACGTGCGGCGGCGGGCTGGCAGTGTTTGACCATGAATGTGTGTGTGTGCGTGTGTGAGAGAGAGATAGTGGAGGGTGTGGTGGAGTGGAGTAGGGTGGCTGATGGGTGGATGGGTAGGTGTCAGGTGCATTAATGTGGTTTAATGTGGTGGGTGGGTAGTGTTAGGCACGTGTATTATTGTGAAAGGGGCTCATCTGTTTGGGTGCGGTGTGAAAGATTACCTCAGTATCCTTAATGAAGGTATAATTTTGACTTTTTTTAAACCATTAGGTCATTCGATCTAATGGCTACGATGTATTCTTATTTCTTTCATTGAGCACCATTCTCACCGGAGCGCGACCCATAAAATGATATTATCACCTCATATATTGTTATACAATTGAAGAAACTAGTGTTATTTTATATGTGCATATGCATGAGCGATGTTAATTTAATTTTATTAAAAATTAAATAAATTTAATAATTCAATAATATGTACAAAATTACAATATACCAATATAAGTATGAAAATCCTTTATGTACATGACATTCGATGTTTGTCTGTTTTTCGATTCGTCCTGCTTGTATAACAACAAGTACGTAGCTCGTGCGATGCACTGGACAACTAGTACCTTTACTGGAGGTACTTCGTTGTAGTGTGAGGGTTGCAGACAGCCACATGGCTCCGTGTTGATGAGAGATTCTTTGGATTTAGTCTCTGGTATACACAAAACTATGAGTTCATGTTTTTTAGAAAGTCTTTAGACTTAGTCTTTAGTGAATGTGAAATAAATCTCTGGCCATATGGTGAGGTGCTCGTTGTAATTGGAGCGTTGCAAAGCAACTGCCATAGATTCATGGTTAATGAGAGTGTCTTTGGACTCATTCTCTACTAAACACGAAGCTATGAATTAATGTGCTTGAAAAAAGTCTTGGACTCAGTCTATAGTGAATGTGAAATGAATCTCTATTTAAGAAAAATGTTGTAATATTTCTCTTGATCGAAATATATATTATCTTTTAATGGACATTAATGAAATTATTGCAGATATTAATAAAATTATTTAAGAAAACAATATTCTTGATTATATCTAATTTGATTTTATTTGAAACTTATATATAGAAGCAATTAATGCATATATTTAAAAAGTTTCCAAAAATAAGTATGCATTAAATGCTTTTAAAATTTTTTACTACTATTATTAGTATATAGTTTTTCTTATTATATAAATATAGATAGATTTATATAAATTATTACACTCGTAATAGAATTATTAAAATATAAAACGCTTTTGAATATCACTTAATTTATGAATATTGAAGTCTATAAATATCGTATTATCAATTAAAAAATGTTACAATATAATACAACCGAGTCTTACGTAACGGGACGTGTGTCTTTCAAAATAATAAACAGCAATGCATTTTTTAAGAATTATATAAAAGTTTAAAATAAGTCTGTTTATATATTTATTTATAAAAAGGGATTTAATTATAAACTTCGTAATTAATTAATTAAGTAATGTTTGAGTTGAAATATATGATAACATAGAGGCGTAAAATACAAAATAATTTTCAAAGAATTACTCACAAAACTAATACAAGCTTGCAAAGTAGGCATTATAAAATATTTTTGTAATTAATTAAGTGAAAATTAGTACACTAAATAGAATAGGAATAGGATGATTGAAACAAGAGTTGGTAAATAAAACCGTGCGACCGACTTCAATTTGTAGGGTTTCCAAAATTAGCTATAAATATTAGATAATCGACCCAAAGGAAACATAACACATATCTTACCTAAATTTTGAGAGAGAGAAAACAAAAGAGAGATGAGGCGTTCCTGGACAAAAGCCGACATCCCGTCAGGGCACCACTTCCAACCGTCCGATGAAGAGCTGATCAAATTCTATCTGCTGCCATGGTCAAAGGGTCTCCCGTTGCCCATCAAAGACCTGATTGTGGAGAGAGACGTCTACGGTGAGACGGCCGACCCGCGGGTCATTTTAGCAAACCCCGACGACCCTGGTTGGGAATTAGTCCGAGACGAAGATTTCAAGAAAGTGAAGAGAGTGATGTACGTGTTGACCAAGCTAACCAAGATCAAGACTCGGTTTTCGAGACGGGCAGGAAGGGGCACGTGGAGCGGCCAAACGCCCCCTCGAGAGATATACGATGATGACGTGGACAGTGGCTGTGGGGTGATGATTGGGTGCATGAGGATGTTCTCGTTCGAGGAGGAAGGATCACGTGCTTTGCAGGATCACTGGACCATGCATGAGTACTCACTTGCCTTGGATTCGGTAATTGAAGAAGAGCTGATTAAGCACAAGGATCATGTGCTTTGCAAGATCACGTGGACCCGCGAGGAGGAGCCCAGATGTGGTGATCAGGTGATATCAAGAGACGTTCGTGAAGAAAATGTTCACAAGAAGCAGAAGAAGGCAATTGGTATATCAAGAGACGTTCGTGAAGAAAATGTTCACAAGAAGCAGAAGAAGAAGGCAATTGGTAGTGATTATTTTGACGCCAATAAATATAGTCTCCAGCCTATGCTCCCAGTCCCGGATTTGCCAGCTGTCTCCAGCCCATGCGCCTTCGGCTACGGTGACTATGAGTTGACTCAGGAGGATTTAACCATACTCAACAATTTCATTTGGAGTACTTAGAAATAACTCATCATGGATTCATCTTTCATTCTAGTATAATTGTAACTAGTACAATAACCGTGTATTACACGGGTGTTGAATTAGAAAGCTTTTGTAATTTTTTTTTTTAACTAAAATAATTTAATTTTATATAAAATATTACATTGGGTTTTAATTAAATTGTCAAATTATATTTTTTCAATCATAATAATTAAACACCCGTACATTAAACAAAAATATTAATTTTTTTTACTTAATTAGATGCCTAATACATCAAGTGTCGTATCAGTCGTGCTTCACACTTTTTTAACTTTATATGTAATTTTAGAATTTATATAAGTAATTATTTATATTTATTACATTGACAACATACCAATTAGATTTGAAATAAATATTATTTTTAAAAGAATACATATCAATTTTTATTACTTTATAATATAATTTATAGGTTTATTTGATTTAATTTATTTAGTTTGATAAATATATTCTAATTTTATTTATAAGGATATATATTACTGTTTTGTATTATATATATATATAGTAAAATACAAACAAACTTCATAATATCAATTCAAATGCAACATACTAATTAATTTTTTTTTTCTTGACAATATTAACCCTATTTAATGGATGTTATGGGAAACGATGGAGATGAGATATGAATAGACACTGTGTATTAGATGGAGGGTTAAAAATGAAAAAATATGAAAAAAATATCTAAAACGATATTTATTTTATCAATAATCAATTAAGACAAAGTGACAAATAATAAAAATAGTAGGGACTATATATTATTATATATTTTAGTATGACACATGTTACTTGTGCGACTTATATGTGTTGTATTATAATAAATTTTCTACCTTATAACATATAACTACATTAAACATAAATGTATTAATTGATAATAATTTTATTTTGTAATTAATTTTAATAAATAATTTTTTTATTATTATAAAGATAAATATAATTTATTTATTTTATATATACAATATGGATGTCAAATCGAAGCTCATCAAAAGATGATTAATTTGATATATTATATATGTAAAAGCGATAAGAAATACAAAAGTTATCAACATTTAAAATATATTTTCAATTCAATAGTTATAATAGGAAACGATATTAAAATATAATTAATATAAATATTAATTTATATCCAAGCCTAACTCCAAAGCATTTTTTTTTTTTGACAAATAGGATTTCGAAGCATGAGAGTTTGTCACGTAGTCTCAGCGCATTCTGAAATTATTTATATATATAGAAGAGGGGATTAAACTTTTTTCTTTCTCTTTCCTTCTAAACTAGTACAGAACCCGTGCGATGCACGGAGTGCATAATTTTAAGGCTATTTATCCAGGCTTATAATTCTATACATGAATAAAGAAAAATGTACGGGATATATATAGTATGTGACCCGTGCGAAGCACGTGATATATTTATTTGGAGAATATTATATTATAAGATGCAATATTTAATAAAAGTTTATAATACGCAAAAAATTGTACAATGTTCAATAAAAGTTTTATAATATTCAAGTGGAGTCTTAAAGTCTCTTGTACATTAAGACTACTGACAAAATAATATTTTAATCAATGAGTTTCCTTTCCTTGTAGCCAAATTGTGAATGTGATTTGAGGAGTACAACAAATCGATATATAGCTGACTTGCTTTTTTCATTGTAGTTTTTTTTTCTTTTTTTTTTATAATGAATTTAAAGATATTCTAAAATATAGCAAAAATTAATTTTTTTATTACAATTAGGAATTTTACTAAATATAAACTCTCAATCTATGGTGTTAATCAACGTTTAAGTCTAAAAAATTAGGAATTTTTACCTCTTTTAATCAACGTTTAAGTCTAAAAAACAATAGAGTTATTATAAGTTTTTTTTCTACATCTTTTAAAACATTAAATATGAGCATGTTAGGGCTAGCTTGTAAAATAATTAATATATTATCTCACTAAAACATTTATACTAATAAAAATTTAATTTTAGCATATAAATTTATCCCTTGATATAAGAGAAAGTAACAGTTTTACTTATTGTTGTTCACCATATAATATTTAATTATTATTTTATTATATAATAAAAAAGAAATATTGTTAAATAGTGTAGTAGAATTGTTATAAAATTATATGATTTTTTTTTTTAAAATATGGATTTAATATTTTTTTATGATTTGATAATATAAACAAATCTATACTTAACTTTGACAAATAAAACAAATAAATACTTTAGTAAGTATTTAATGTATATACTAAATAGGAATATATTTGGTATAATCAAATACCAAATATAATCAAATAAGTCAAAGTGTACATTTTTATTTGGTATTTGATTTTTTTATTATTAAAATCTTTTTATTATACTTACCTTTTTAAAATAAAATAAATAAATAAATCAATTAAATAAATAAAATATTATAATATCACAATAGTAATGACATTTAATGCAGTTGACTTTTCTGGATAGTAAATGTAGTAAATAGAATATCCTTTTATATAGTATAATACGGAAATAGTAATGCAATAAATACTGTTGACTTTTCTGACTACTTAATTTAGTAAATAGTACCCAGTTGACTTTTCTGGATAGTAAATGTAGTAAATAGAATATCCTTTTATATAGTATAATACGGAAATAGTAATGCAATAAATACTGTTGACTTTTCTGACTACTTAATTTAGTAAATAGTACCCCTTTTAATATAAGTATAGATTTTAGCATTTGATTCTTTCTCTTTCCTTCTAAATTTTAGGGAGGCAGATATTTTTTTTTTTTTTTTTTTTNTTTATTCAACTAAGGATTACGTAGGTATATTATTTCTTGAGTTGCTTGTTTGTCAAGCTCTATGATTATTATGTATAAAAAATCTATGGAATCATCCACCATTTAATGTATTGACACTTGTTCAAATTGAATTTATTGTAAGACGCGTGTCAATACACTATTGATGAATAAATGTGATGACTCCATATAGTCGAACCATCCGATAACTCCATAGCAAAACTGGGACTATGTATACTGTATAGTGATATAAGAATAACTATTGCTTGCTTTATTTGACAAATCTTTTATGCTACCCAATACACAATATTACGTTTTTCGGAGAATGACATATATAATTGTAGGTAAAAATTTCCATCTTTGAATGCAGGCCGGCATAAAATTATATATTACTACTAATTAAAAAAAAAAATGTTTTATACGATTTCTGTTGGGTTTCTAATTATTGTAAGTACGATTATCGTCCGACTCCATTTCTTAAAAATACTACTTTTAACTTAAGAAGGTTGAGGAGCCAAAATAATCGACTCACGAGATTGTCGGTCGAACCACCTCCTCTCGATTGCATGAGAGTCTGGACGTCTAGATCGCCTTCGTCTTCAAGAACCGGATCGACCTGCAAATCGCCGGGGCGGGCCCCGACGTAGACACTCCGACGCTCAAGTCAGAAAACATATATTTTGATCGTGTATCTTACATAATCTCAAGAGTTTAGGATTAGAAAATTAACCTGGTCCCTTATTTATAAGGGGTTTAATGACTTACTCCCCAAGATAATGAGTTTCCTCAATAAATCAGAATTCTGATGTTCCTCAATAACCGTGTAGATATACACACTTTCATAAATATCTTTAACTAATACCGTATATCACATAAAATAGGCTTCGAGCTCCCTTGGATCGGCCCTATCCGAGCTAACCGGCCAGGCCGGTCCACCGAGTTATTTCTGTTGCTACATCATCTAGCCCTCCCACTCTAGACGAGCTTGCTAGCATAAGACTCATCTAAGAGTAGAACAATCATTTCTCGTCCAAGTCTATCTCGTAGGACTATGGCGTCAAGATCATGGGCTCGTCCTGGCCACATAGCTTACCACGTCGGAGTTCCGCTGCCGTTTGCGTGCAACAATGGCTCTCGGGACAACATTGCACTTTCCTTGACTTTGTGGCCCCCGAGCAACCTGCTCGATGTTGTGCCACCTTAATACGTCTGACAATCGCGCTATCTGCTCGAGTTGTAAAGGTGACTCCCGCATTTACGACCTCCAAGAGGTGAGGTCTCTTTATACGCAAGCTCTCTAATAAGGTCGAGTATTGAGGCAGGGCTAAAACTCCTTTGGGTCCTCTGAGCGAACCACTCCAGTCGGTGGACCGAGTGAGTACTCGCTAGAACGGAGGTCCACGCGATCCAAACGACCTATTCCAAGTGACATCGTCTTTGCTGGTTCGAAACCTCCACAGTGGGCTATTCTCCCGAGCTCCACGAGCTCAGGCACCGCCACGACTGGCTAATTGCCCTCGATCCCCACTGCCAAGATCCAAGAGCTCGGGCCACTCCACGACAGGCTTTCGTCATAAATTTTGCTATGAGTCCGAGGACCCGCTGTCGAGCTCCACGAACTCGGGGAACATCATTACAGGATTTCGCCCTAAATTTGTCTATGAGTCCGATGACCCGCTGCTAAGCATATAATCACAACGATACTGCCAAGCTCACAACGACTATCCTGCACTAATGCGGCGACGAGTTTAACTTCATGTCGGGCTAGGATAAGCTTGGTAATCTTTTGAATTGGACACCTGCCGAGCTTCTCGAGCTTGAGTGATGATGACTCAACAGGCTTTCGCACACCGCGAGCTCGAGCGCCATCTTCAACAAGCTTTCGCCCTATCTCGTCCACCGCCGCGCTCCGCGAGCTCGAGCGACTCTTCAACAAGCTTTCTCCCTATTTCGACTATCGCCGAGCTCCACAAGCTCGAGCGACATCTAAAACAGGCTTTCGCCATATCTCGACCATCGCCGAGCTCCGCGAGCTCGAGCGACTTCTTCAACAGGCTTTCGCCCTATCTCGGCCTCCGCCGAGCTCCGCGAGCTCAAGTGACTTATTCAACAGGCTTTCGCCCTATCTCGCGACCATCACTGAGCTCTGCGAGCTCGAGCGACATCTTTAACAGGCTTGCGCCCTATCTCGACCATCGCCGAGCTCCGCGTGCTTGAGCGACTTCTTCAATAGGCTTTCGCCCTATTTCGCGACCATCACCGAGCTCCGCGAGCTCGAGCGACATCTTCAACAGGCTTGCGCCCTATCTCGACCATTGCCGAGCTCCGCGAGCTCGAGCGACATCTTCAACAGGCTTTCGCTCTATCTCGGCCACCGCCGAGCTCCGCGAGCTCGAGCGACTTATTCAACAGGCTTTCGCCCAATCTTGCGACCATCACCGAGCTCCGCGAGCTCGAGCGACATCTTCAACAGGCTTGCGCCCTATCTCGACCATCGCCGAGCTCCGCGAGCTGGAGCGACTTCTTGAACAGGCTTGCGCGCTATTTCGACCATCGCCGAGCTCCGCGAGTACGAGCGTCATCTTCAACAGGCTTTCGCCCTATCTCGACCATCGCCGAGCTCCGCGAGCTCGAGCGACATCTTGAACAGGCTTGCGCCCTATCTCCACCATCGCCGAGCTCCGCGAGCTCGAGCGACATCTTCAACAGGCTTTCGCCCTATCTCACGACCATCACCGAGCTCCGCGAGCTCGAGCGACATCTTCAACAGGCTTACGCCCTATCTCGACCATTGCCGAGCTCCGCGAGCTCGAGCGACATCTTCAACAGGCTTTCGCCCTATCTTGACCATCGTCGAGCTCCGCGAGCTCGAGCGACTTCTTGAACAGGCTTGCACCCTATCTCGACCATCGCCAAGCTACGCGAGCTAGAGCGACATCTTCAACAGGCTTTCGCCCTATCTCACGACCATCACCGAGCTCCGCGAGCTCGAGCGATATCTTCAACAGGCTTGCGCCCTCTCTTGACCATCGCCGAGCTCCGCGAGCTCAAGCGACATCTTCAACAGGCTTTCGCCCTATCTCGACCATCGTCGAGCTCCACGAGCTCGAGCGACCTCTTGAACAGGCTTGCGCCCTATCTCGACCATCGCCGAGCTCCGTGAGCTCGAGCGACATCTTCAAACATGAGTCTAAGATACGATTACGAGGACTCACTCTCGAGCTCCGCCATTTCGGGCACCGCCACAGCGATCTTGCTATGCTCTCACGTGAACCTATGGCTCTAGGCCACCCTACACTTATCTTAGAACCACATAAACGTCCTATAAAAGACATGTAAACAATTGATATTTCTTTACAAGAAATAACCCAAAGAAACTTGTCATGGTATCTGAACTTGATCATTGAAAACAAGTAGTGATTAACTTATGGTACTTGGAGCTGCAAATATCACTGCTGACATTTTTACGAAAACAACCGAGGTGTGGATCCCCTTGTACGAGAGCGCTGATTTTCTCCTCGAGCTTGACTTTCAAATTTGCAAGTGTCAAAACGACCTCGATTTAGGTGTTCCTTAAGGTGTGGTGGAGATCCGTCCGGGAAAGACTGAGGTCATCTGAGCTACGCGAACCCGATCCTCCGCCAATGGACTGTCTTCGAATGCTAAACTGCAACATGGGACTTCGCACACCAAAATCGTAGAAACGAATTATCTTGAAATAACATCATAATCATCATTTTAAGTGGAAATAAGTAGTAGCTATACCGACAACATGCTTTTTATATAAATGACCTGAGCTCAGTGAGTTCGTCAGGTTCGTGATATTGATAAAGTCATGCTCTCTTTTCATATGAATGACTTGTTGAACTTCTCGTCGAAATGACAAACATATGGGGTGCGGGATCCTATCGGCGCATCCGAACTGCTTCAAAAGTAGTCATGAAATGAGACATCTTACCAGGTCCCTTTGCCCCATCCTTTCGGGTCGTGAGAGAATATTGGAGCATTGTAATAATTCCTCGGGTCGTCCCGACTGCTTCACGTAAATTACCAAGCTTCACAATTCGTCGTTGGACTCTCCGGACTTCTTGTTATAAAATGTCCAAGCCTTCGTCGGGCTCTCCCGACACCTTGGTAAATACCCGTATCCTTCCTTTCGCGCTTTGGTAATAACTGTGGTGCGACACACCTTGCCAGGTCTCCCCATCCTTTCTTCGAAAAATAATAGAGCTTGCAACAACTCTTCGAATTTCCCGACCTCTCGTCGCAAACCTTGGAGCGTAAAATAACTCACCGGGTTATCCAACTACTGAAAGTAATCAGGCTTCACATTATCTCACCCGGTTGTCCCGACCTTTCGCTGTAAAAAACATCAAAATTCGAGATGACTTCTCGAATCCTCCCGATCTCTCATTGTATAAATTATCGGGCTTCAAGTTCCTCGTCCTTGCAACCAAGAAAAACATGTACGTACGTTTTCTTCTCTAGTGGTCGACCTCTCTGGATCGAAACTAATCGCATTCCACTTTCTGAAATAGGCCCAATAGCTGTAAACTCAGGCCCAATTCTTGAAATTTTTGCTCCAATCAGAAAATTATGAAAGCATGGTCCGCTCCTTCACTGCTTCTGTTTAAAGATTTTTATCCATTTCTCCAACAAACACAGATATGAGCGGCATCAACCGACGGGCTCTGCTCGTGAGTGGCAGACGACGATCTAAGAGTTGCCCCACAACGAGACCACGGCCCGACAGATCACCGATTGCGGCTGCTCAATTGCCTCTTGTGGACTGATTGCTGCGCGTGGATTGATCGGAACCCGCTCCCATGAAAGGACCTCCGGTTGAAGGCTGCGGCTGAGGGCTGGGATTATCCCGGCGAGGCCGCCGCCGTTAACTGTCCGCCTAAAGACTACAATCGACCTCTTCGACAGCCGTGGGAAGCACGATGCTTTGCGTTTTGCAAACGATTTCCCGTTTTTGCTGAGCCCATTTTTTTTTTCGGAACATCTCACCTTTTAGAAATCAACAGCTTCACACGCAAATTTGGTTCTAAGCCCATCACCCTTCTTCTCACAATGGTGGATTATGACCCAAAATAAATGTAAAAGCGCCCAAAATGTTACCCCTGCGGCCCAACACTCAGGTGCAACAATTGAAAATTAAATCTAATTGGTCCTTAATTGCAATTTTGGGTCCAAATCATAAACTTGAAAAAGCACCAACACCGAAATCAGAGGTCATACCCAACAAATTGGCCTCAATTAAAAATTGGAAAAGTTGTCATCTCCTTCACGCCCTGCACCGAATCTAACGACGATCCTCGGCTGTGGACGGCACCGGCCTCCAGATTTCTGCTCGTGGGCGGCGCGACGATCTAAGAATAACGTGGTGATCAGGCTTCGGGGTTGTGATGATTCTCTTCCTCGACCATTCTCTTCATTTCACGGTGGCCGGAAGCTCCGGCAGCGCCTCCGCTGCGGGCGGGTCCGTCGCAATAAGAATCGGGCAGCGGCGGTGGTCGAACCTCGGGGCAGCGGTGGTGGTCGGACCTCGGGGTAGCGCATCGGCCAGATTCGGGGTTGCGGCAGTAATTGGAACTCGGGGCAGCATGTGGGTCCTTCTCTTTTCTTTTTTGTTTCTAATGCATAAGAAATATGGATTGTTCCCCAGGATGGATTACCATACATGAATACAGAATGTTGGTAGGATTTTTGCTGCAATTTTCTTTTTTTCGATTCGTACGGGATACCGAATTTACTTGCTTTTGGTAGAAATTGGGGTTGTCCTCACAGACGACTCCAATTTGATGAGCCAAAATAATCGGCTCACGAGGTTGTCGGTCGAACCGCCTCCTCTCGATTGCTTGAGAGTCTGGACGTCTCGATCGCCTTCGTTTTCAAGAACCGAATCGTCCTGCAAAGCGTCGGGACTCCGAAGCTCAAGTCAGAAAATATAGAAAATATATATTTTGATCGTGCATCTTACATAATCTCAAGAACTTAGGATTAAAAAATGAACCTGGTCCCTTATTTATAAGGGGTTTAATGACTTACCCCCAAGATAATGAGTTTCTCAATAAATTAGAATTCTGATGTTCCTCAATTAGATATACACACTTTCATAAATATCTTTAACTAATACCGTATATCACATAAAATAGGCTTCGAGCTCCCTTGAATCGGCCCTATCCGAGCTAACTGGCCAGGCCGGTCCATTGAGTTATTTCAGTTGCTACATCAAAGGTTTTATAATATTTGCACAACTTAGAACACATGTCGATTATATACATTGGTAACTATTGCGACTACAAAAAAAATATTTAAGTCACTAATAATCAGCAATGATTATGCTCCAACACGTGAGTTAGAATTTGACATAATTTTACAATTAATTTATACCATTAATTAATAGGTAGTTTTTGTATGATATTTTCATTTTTTGAAAATATTGCGTTTGTTTTTTTATTAGTTACTAGGCAAATTGTGCAATAGAAAAAATTCTTTTTCTATAAAGGATTAACATATTCATTTTAATTTCACAAAGTTACGAGTTATTTAATTTATTTTACATTGAGATTTGTTTGAATTTTTTAAAAGTTATAAATATTTCAAAGACAAAATGTGCATATATGAAGTCTTACGTTAAAACTGATCAGTAGCAAAATGTACGTAATTTTATATGTTTAATAGTATATTTTTATATGCTTAAATTATTTACACATTCATATTTTTGCATTATTTATTTAATTTTTAATGAATTTATTTTCTTTAATGTTTTATTCATTTATTTTTTTTTTCAATATTTTGGTGTATTTTCATTGATCCGAGAAATTGGACAAAGTTCACATAATCAATTGTCGGAGCACCCAATACACATTAGCGTGCAAAAGGCCTTTTCGCACGACCTAATTTGCATTGTGACATGTTCGTAGTCCTGCAAAATGGGCCGGCACTACAAGAAAAGGGTGAAATTTCAATGAAAATATATTCCAATAGAATACAATGGCAATTCCAATGGACATTTTAATGTTATTATTTCTGTTGGAATTTTTCAATGGATTCCAACGGAAATTCCAACAAAAATATTCCATTGGAATTTCGGTTTGGATTTGACGATTCGAACGGTAGATTTTCCAACGGGGGTGGAAATAAAAATTCCAACGGAATTATGTTCAAACGGAAATTCCTATGGTAAAAAGTCGTTGGAATAATCAAATTCCATCTAAAATTTTAATGGAAAACACATTCCAACGAAATATTTTCGTTGGAATTTCCATTGGAATCATTCCAACGGACGTTATACTATTGGAATATCCGTTGTAATTTTCATTGGAATATATTACCACAGGACTTTCCATTGGAATATAATATTTGTTTTGTAGTGCGGGAGGGGTTCCTGGCATTAGCTCTCCAACGATCAAGTCAGTCCAAACTTATAATTAACTTCTATTCACCTTAAAATGTTTTTGAAAATTTTTTAAGTCTTCCAATTGCAAAAACTGGAACTAAAATTGTGTAAGATATAATACTGCAGTTTCCTTGTTAGTGAAGTGCAACTTCCTTGCACTTTCATTACACTTTCATTGTACCTTCATTGCACTTTCATGACACTTTCATGACAGCCACTTTAGGCTGATTTTTCAGCTTAAGAAATTTCTAGGAAAGCCACTAGAATAGTTGTTTTTTTAGTTCTTATAAATAGAGTAGCTGTGATCGAACAGGGACTAACAAATTGGTAGAAAACCAATTTGTCTTTACATATACAACACATGAATGACCGTCGACATGTCAAATAAAACTAATAACCTAATATTGAAATAAATTTATAAATAAATGCATCTATCTTTTATTTTTATTTTTAAAAACTTTCTATGCATAAGTTTAATTCAACACCACGTGCTATAAGCGATTATGTATTATGTAACATATAATGCATGCGTCAAATGAATATTTTGCAGTTTGATTTGATGTTGTAACTGTAATATCACATCAATATAAGAAGTGTGATTTTAGTTAAATTAGCTATATAATATTACAGTTGATATAGCATATAAAGATGTTTCGTTGAGAAAAAATGAGATTTTTATCAGAAAAGTCTCTCTATTGTAGTATACTGTCAACTAATAACTGAACATAAGATGATAAGATAACAAACATTGTTTTTAGTCAACATTTTATAATTCAAACTTGCTTGAAGTTATGTGAAAAAGAAGTTGGTTACCAACTTTTATTTGGTAATTCATAAAAAAGCAATAAAACGTGCTTCAACTTAATCAAATACTCTACAAAAATTCTAATTTGACTTGCGATGCCAACAAATCCAGCTCGAACAAGATCTGAAAGAGTTCTTTGGTAATATACTAATATATCATTTAATTCGTTTTTGCCTAATTAGTTTTTAGTTATTCGGATACCAACCAATTCAAATTCAGTACCAAATTGGATTATGTGCTCATTCCAAAATGCAAGTAAAATATTATATGTATGTATATAATATTTGGAAGTTCTAGTTTCATCTGGATTTGTCCCGTTAGAGTTTATGTTCCATACCTTAAATCCAGAGGCTTCCTTCTTCTTTCGTCTCTTTGCGTTACTGTTTCTACTCGCTTTTGCTTGTTTCTCCTTGTAGGGCTGGTTTAGGTTGTTTTTCTTGCTTAGATTGTGGTCATTTTTAGGTTCTGATGGGGTCTGCAGGTTAGATTTTTTCTTGCATTTTGTTGTGCCTTTTATTGTGTTTGTATGTATTTGTTAGTATTTTGTTCTCCTTTGTCCTTTCTTAGCTGTTTTGTTTTCAGAAATTCTATGGTGCCATAATCTCATGATCCAACGCCTAATATCCATTGTGGAATTGATAGAATGGATATTAGGCGTTGGATCGTGAGATCTATGGCACCATATGGTGCCCATATGGGCACCATAGAATTTCTGGTTTTGTGCCTGCCTGGTGTGTTTATCTACATCCTGTCTTTGTTCGCTTTTTAATTTCCTTTAGAGCCTTTAGGGGGTGGTTTCTGGGCTGTGTAAGGATGGCGAGTGAACTCTCAGAACAACTGCAGAGATTCGTCTTCTCAGAGAGAGAGGAGGAAGTGGAATTGTCTAAAATTGATTTAGCATCGGGGCTTAGGGATTGCCAGTTGAGCTTAATAGGGAAAATCTTCTGGTAGGAGGTAAATTTTACAGGGCTCAAATCCACCCTAGGGGGAATTTGGGCAACAACCCAACCCTTCTCAGTCAAAAGTCTATCTAGAGTAGAATAGATTTTAATATATATTTCTTAACAAATACTCATATAATACAATATTGTACTAGTGTGTGTATTGATAGATAGACAGATATATAATTAACCACTAAAAATCTATTAATATATAATAGAGAGATGGATTTACTTAAAATATCATGTAAATTCTTTCTTATAAAATTTGATTTTATTATTATTGGCAAATATTTTCAAAAATTTTCGTTTATTCCTTAAGATTTTTTTTAAATTTAAATTGAAGATCATTGTCAAAATCCGACAAATTACTCTCAACAAAGTCATGCCATCTAAATAGGTAATTAGTTGCCACTGTTGTACTATAGATTGTCAATATGTAAGATCGATGTGTAAGATAGACAAAGATAGAGAAAGCATGAGAAGAGAGTAAGAGAGAAGAGATACGCCGTCAAAAACCATCATCTTATTCATTCACTTGAGCCATATATATAAGGAAATACAATATACATGACTACTAATGGCCTCATGTCCCATACCTACAAAGTCTATATCTAGGTAAGTCCACAAATTAATATTTAAAACATTCCCCATTGGACATTACCACATCATGTCCATACCTCGTTAAAAACCTCTCTACAAAACCCAGTGGGAAAAAATAGTCAAGGAAAAGAGTACATTACATATGCATATTTATGTGTTACACTTGTTGCTTCTTTAAAAACCTTACTAAGTAAAACCCAATGGGAAAAAACTTAGCTAAGGGAAAAAGAGTACAACACCGACCAACAAGGCCTAATTTTCAGGATTACAATTAGCCTTCCGGGCTCGATCTTCAGGATTTATTTATCGCTCCCCCTGAAAGCAAGAGCCTTTCAAGTTACATTTATAAATGTTTGTTGCTCCCCCTCAAGGTAAGAGTATCTAAATAAAATCGTCATTGGTTGCTCTTCCGGAGTTAATATGGATTCAAAAATATCATCAAATGTATTTCCATAATTTATTTGTGTAACGCAAACTAAGTTATCTTCAAGATAAATATGGGGAAATTTCAATAACCAATGGTAAAGAGTTAATACCATTTGAGAGGTATATAACCAATAGAGAACCTAGTACTTCGGGGATCAATTATACACTTGATGTATTTATCCACCAATATCATATATCAAATCCAAAGATAACTCAACATACATGAAAACATAATGAGATATTCTCAGTTTATCACGATCTCTTTAAGAAGAGAAATAGTAAGTGTCGCTAGCAAATTCATCACAAATGCAGTATCAGGCCTAATGCAGTTTGCGTGATAAAATTTCAACACAATTGCACTTAGTAAATAAATTTCAGGTCGTTTGTGGACTTCAAGTCCATTGGAACTTCAGGTCCTATAATATCCTCTTTTGTTTCTTTGGATCTTTATAAATCTTTGTCAAATTTAAAATATTTCACACCCATTGGTGTTATAATTTTACATCTCTAAAAGAGATTCAAGTAGACTGATTGGGTCAAAAATATTCCTTCTAGGAGATGCTCGATCCACAAGTCGAGATAATACTCTTTGGTATTTAACCAAGAGTTTCATTCTAACTCCGTCTATAAGCATGAGCTAAGTTATTTAATCTTTACATAGTGTTCACCACATAATCTAATTGACCGAGATGATCATTTTGTATATTTTCATTAACATACACAAGGTTCTACCTTGAATTTCTTACTTTATTTCTTCAGGAAGAATTTAGTTGGTTGTACCACATCTTACGAACAACTTCAAATAATTAAACTATTTATTATTTAATTATCGTTCATCTCAGGTACTCGAGTCCATTTAGGACTTTCACATATGTCTCAATAGTCATGGTAATGATGCTGCCATAAATATTAACTTGCGGAATCATTAATAATGAGAGAACTTATCGAAATAAATATTTGGGTCTCTGCATAAACCCATGAGCATAATCACGCTATATTTACGTCATACCACCACATTACATATTTCATATAAATATTCATTATCCTTCTGGGATATATGCTATCCTCCTGAGATATATCGTGTAGCGAGTGAAAGCTCTGCCTCAATTTTCCTTTCTATCTCAATCAACCTAAGTGCTTCTAGCACTTTCATTATTTGGATCCGGTTCATTATTTGAGATAGTAAAGAAATCACGTAGGCAAGTATGTTGTCGATAACTATTATATTCAATTGATATTTTTCTCTCAACCATTTGCTAGCCATATTTATAATCATTTCCCGTAACATCTAATTTTGGTTGTTCCGCACTTCCAGTACTATAATGGTTTGATGCACGTGTAAGATGTACTGGATCAGCTCTTCAGGAGTTTCTTATAAAGGGTGTTAATTCTTGAATATACATTTTCCGCGAACTTTCATACATCATATCACCTTATGCTTCAAGCATTAAGGAGTCAATCATTCCCTAGGGAAATTGCTTACTTTGTGGTACATTTATATATATACAAATTGGTCACTCCATTAGAACTATAGATTTCGATTGACAAAAATATAATATGAACTTCAAGTTCAATTTTTATTGTGTGGTTTCAAATAATGAAAACATTAATATTTCATATATTTCACGGCATTAATAAACTTATGCTCATATCTCCCCCTAATACCGTGAAATCATCTTCATATATTACGCAAATAACGTACCAAATAATAAATTGATCCCCTATAGTGCTTCTAGGTATTAAAAGTTCGACGGAGTATAAAATCATAGCATACCTAGTTTGTAATATATGCCATAAAGGTACGAATTGGTGGTGATATAAAATGGTGCATAATAAAATGATAATAAATTGCAGATGGGAAATGTTCGATTCTCCGCGCATTTTAGGGGGAAATTGTCATAAATAATTGCCCAATATGATCCGATTGCTCATGCTACTTATCAAATATATAAGTTGGGGATCGAATTATAATAATTCATTTATAAGTGAACACTATATGTTTCAGGCACTACAATTGAACTTTGCTTGTTAGCTTTTATTGTAGCTATCAACAATATTATGTGCTTCGGGCACTACATATAAATTTATTATTGTAGCTATCAACAATATAAGTCAATGGTATGCATCTTATCATATATACAAATAAACATAAATAATTTCAGAATACTTATATACAAGTCAACGAGATTATTTACTAGATCAATCTGTCAAAGATACTCGCTAGATAATTCTTATTCAATTAAGACACTGGTCAGGACCAATCCTTCAAGGATATCCAAATCTAGGTCAATAAGGTATTCAAATTCACTAGTGGTACTTTTAATTATATAATCCTTCAGGGATACTCAAATCTATAAACATAAAATTCAACAGAATATTTGCTCTGCAATTCATGACAGAACTAGAAAAATAACGATACAAGTTACATACCGTTCATTTGGTTCATTAGTCAATTAGACTAAAGTTCAAGATATTCAAATTGATTTAGGCTCAATAACTTTGGATCACGTTCATACTCAAAACAACGAAAAAAAATATGAACTATAATTTCCAAACTAAATGCATGACGTAATTGCATATTTTGATCGGTTCACCATATATATTCCAAACAACATACACAATTCACATGTTAAAATTAATCCACATATGTTTCATGCGTATTCAGATTCATGGAAAAAATAATAATGTATGTGGACATTTTTATTTTATAACTCTTGAGGAGTATGACATTTGAAGTATGAGAGATTTCATATAAGATATATAATCGGATACATATCAAACAAGAGATGCTCATATAAGACAATTAAATCAATGAAACATATAGTCATATAGCAGATAGATAATTTTTTTTTATCATATATCTCATGTGAAAAAATTATACTTTTGTACATGTGCTTTTGGCACTAATACAATCTCAATGAACTACTTTCATATCAATATTCTTAAATATTGTTTTCCATGAGCAATGATTTGGTTGGATTTCATTATTCTAATGTATTACTTCGGGAATACAAACCGTTCATAACACATTATAAAATATTCGATAGCATCTTAATTCAAAATTAGTCATCGAGACTTACTCACAGTGTAATCATTTGTTTTTTCGATACTTGTATCGGTGTTGAACCTTCAGGGAGTATATCAAAACCTTATTGTGAATTATGGGAGATACTTACATCGGTGTTAATCCTTCGGGGAGTATATAAAAACATTATTGTTAACTTATAGAAGATCCTTCAGGGAGTGTATAAACAATTCATTGTCAACTTACAAGCTACTGATAAATGAAAACTTGATTGTCATCTTATAGACAGCTGGTACATTGTTCTAATCATTCTATCCATCAATGTTTAATATTAGTGTCCTTCTGAGACTACTAGTATTCAATTGAACCTTATACATTTGGATAGATATATATTTTTGAAATAATACTCCATCATTTTCATAATTTCACAAATCTATCATCTCATCCAACCATATTATAAATATGTGTCATAAATTGAGCTATGTAGCATCATTTATATATATCCAATGTTTCCACAATTTTTTGTATATAATCTTCCACTCATACACAATAGACATACTTATAAGATCACATGAATTTTTGTAGCACTAAAAACACTAGACAGAAATACTTTTCAAAATTTTTGAATCATGTCAGTGAAACTATAATCTTGTAGATTATATAATCCATCCTTTAGTGCATAATTTTTAAACGAACATATAATAGTTCAATAATGACCAAATTTCACATACATATATGCATCTCATCCAAGATCATGTACAAAATTTGCCAAGTCTATATATGCTCAAAATATAATCAAAACAAATTTTATAACTCAAATCACATAATCTGTCATCTTTCATATTTTTATATACACACTAATTAAAATTGACCATTGAATCCAATGCAAGAATTCTGACACTGTTTGAATTAAACATATATATTCGAAACATCACTTGAAGATTAATTTATGTTGATTTCTTAAGGAAACTAACATACAGTCAGATTTCATAACTGACAATTATATCACAGCAACATCAATTTTCATGAATTAATTCAACCAAAACAATCATGAGCATTGCTTGGGTCAAGACATCATAAGCAAAATAATTTCGGTCAAATATTTAAAGTTCCAAGTTTTAATAAAAATTGAACATGTTCCAATAATCAAACAAATAATTCCTTAAGCATTGGAATGCGTGAGCAGCGATGCATAAAATTTGTGAGAGTTTGATGCCTAATTCACAAATATATAGAAAGAAAAATATTTAGAGAAAGTAATAAATTGTGAATCCGTGACCAAAGGAAAATAATGAATCTGTGACCAAAGGCATATTGTAAAAGTCACGGATAAAATAAATTTAATCATGGATCATTAACGATCGGCCAAAATATTCATAAGTTATCATACGATCATACTCACGATTCATACAACAAATTATTGATATTCAATAGATCTTGAATGTTACCTTGACGGAAAAGACACGATTCTTTTCTAGGGCATACATCAATTCTTGATTGTTAGCTTGATTGCCCGTTTGTCTTGATGTCGCCGCCGTTCACTTAGATAGTAGAGTACTCGTGCTGATAACGTGTTGTAATATAGATTGTCAATATGTAAGATCGATGTGTAAGATAGAAAAAGATAGAGAAAGCATGAGAAGAGAGTAAGAGAGAAGAGATACGCAGTCAAAAACCATCATCTTATTCATTCACTTGAGCCCTATATATAAGGGAATACAATGTACATGACTGAAGACCTAATGGGCTCCTGTCCCATAACTACAAAGTCTATATCTAGGTAATGTCCACAAATTAATAATTACAACAGTCACTATATTTATCTAACCATCAGGAAAGCAAAATCTTCAAAATATCGGTCATAATATTGACGATAGAGATTTATTACCATAAATGTAGGAAAATCCAAAGAATATTTCATTTTATTCACAATATTATTAGTAGAGATAATATTGGAAATATATTTTACTAATCCAAACATATATATATATATATATATATATATATATATATATATATATATAGTGTTAGTATCATATGAGAATGGTAGATAGTGAAAGAAAGAAGAATGAATCTGGACCATGAGATCAATCGTATTAATGGTTGAGATGAAGTCAAAGTATGGTCAATCATCAATGGCAATATGGTAATTATTTGATCATAGTTGGTCAAATATGTACATTTGACCAATAATTAAGGGTAAGTCGGTCAATACAGATATATTTATGTGGGACCCACACACCATTTAAATATCTATTTTTTCTCTCATTAATACACCATCTTCCTCCTCACGATTTTTTTTCGATACAATCCTTCTCACGATTTTGCTGACACACACACACACACACAACCTCCAGCCTCTGCCTTCCTCCACCATGCCTCCGCCGTGCCTTCGCCGCCAGCCTCCAGTGGATGCCGCCACAGTCGCATCCACCTCCTCCATCAACGTCCCCGACCTCTGCTTACCACCTTGACGCAACCCGCCGTAGGACGATCACCAGTCCCAATGCCGACGCATGCACTGACGGTCCAGTGGATGCCGCCACAGTCGCAACCACTTCCTCCATCGACGTCCCCGACCTCCGCTGACCACTCCGACGTAGCCCCGACCACCTAGACGCAACTGCCTTCCGCCACCGCCGCCACCGTCAATTTGACTTTGTCTTCGACAGAATATGATATGACGCTCAACCTCTCATCCGCCACTCGTCTTCTCTGCCTACTCAATTGAAAATTGTCTATCAAATTAACGAGCACCTGAAACCTAACCCCAAAATTAATTCATTTGTTAATTCAAAATTAGATAGGAGAAGATACGAATCTTTAGACTGCCGTCGTCGGCCATGTCACGCGAGAGAGCAGATGCGGCTGGAATTAGGCCTCGGACCGGTCCGGTTTCTAACGAATTTTTCAGGAACCGGAACAGGAACCGAACTGAAATAACCAGTTCGGTTATTACACATATATTTATAGGGACCGGAAAATAACCGAACCGTATTATACCGGTTCGGTTTTTCCGGTTCTTTGGGTAACCGACTTATGAAAAAGAACCGGTAATAACTGGTTTTGAGTTAATAACCGACCAAAAAATTGCAACTCATGTGCTAAATGTATCATGAAAAACCAAGAACCGAATTGAAAATTTAGGAACTGAATATTAAAGACCAAGAACCGGAACCCATTTATATATGTAAACATATAAAACATGTATATTTCATATATATAGTCGGTTTTTCGGTTAATACACAAACATTTGGAAAGGAACTGAGAACCGGAACCGGTTTGTGCAAAAAATAACCGGAACCAAAAAAAAAGTTTTTTTAATAAAAATAACCGAACCGAACCGGCTATTTTCGGTTCAGTCCGGTTCGGTTCTCTGGTTCTCGGGTATAAAATCCCACCCCTAGCTAGTATTAGCTGAAAATCTGCAGGAGGCGTGAGACTGTGAGAGGATGATTTGGGGATTGATTGTTGGGAATTGAATATATTTCAAGGCCTTTATTGCAATTTATATTTTTAAAATATTACAATTTGGTCTGTGGATCAAGTTTGTAATTAATGGAGACATAGTTAGTATTTTAATACTTTTTATATTTTATTTGCTGAAAATAAAATGATACTTTTGTATAAAAATATAAAAAAAAATAATAAGTTTTTTATATAAATTTGACGTTCCGTAAAATCGATCATTTAAATAAAAAAAACACGACATCGTACCGAAATCCTGAGTTCTTAAAAACTAAAAAATGTTAATCCAACCGAAATATACAAATTTGAAAAAAAAAATTATTTCGTTCGAGCTCGTTCGATATTGTGCATTATAGTACCATTAATGTGCAATTCATATAACTTTAATGTGCACTCGCAATACTAAAATATATAAATAAAAAAATAAAAGTATTTTTGCATATAGTTCGGTCGTTTCAGTTATTACGTTTATTTTAAAAAATTAAGCGACGTCGAATTGAAATAACAACGATTTTAAATGTACAAATGGATAATCGAACCAAATATTAAATTTCGAATCGAAAATTTTAGTTCGATTGGATTCGGTGCAATCCGATGGTCATTATTGTGCAATTTATCTAGCACTATTGTGCACTTACATTGAAGACATTTTTAATGATCTATTCCAAATCAAACCAAATTTTAACTGAAATAATTGGTTTATTCGATCGACTAACAAGACTATCTAAATAATAAAAACAATTTTTATATTTATTATATAAAAATATATTTAGTATTTTTAATATTTACATTTAATATTTTATATTCTTTGGCTGAAAATAAATAATGTTTCTATGTATAAAAATTGTTTTTTTTTATATTGTTCAGTTGGTTTGTTTATTTTGATTATTTAAAAAAAAAAATCGATATCAAACTGAAATGATCAATATTGTTTTTCAAAAAAATAAATAATCGAGCCGAAATATATGATTACCAATTGTAAATTTTAGTTTAATTGGTTTCGGTCATTAATGTGCCATTCCTATAACACAGCTGTGCAAACTTTTAGTCATTAAATTACAATTTGTCTAACACTACTGTTCATTCGCAGTGCATGCATTTTTTAAGGAATTGACACAAACTAAACTAAAACACAACTGAAGTAATTGATTTATTTGATCAGTTAATCGACTTAAACTAAATAAACAAAATAATTTATAGTTTATATTATAAAAAATATATTTAGTATTTTAAATGTTTTTATTTGATAATTTATATTAATTTTTTTTGAAAAATTCATAATATATGTAATAAAATAATATTTTTTATATAGTTTTTTCGGTTGGTTATTTAATAAATGAATTGGAATGTACTATATATAATGTACTATATATATATATATAGTACATTCCAATTCATTTCGGTCGGTACGTTTGCTACAGTAAAGTGCAATGTCAAAGGCACAAAAGTGCAACCTGTCCATCATAAAAGTGCAATATATTCAATAGTATTTTAATATTTTATAATATTTTTATTTAATACTTATTTATTATTTTAATCCATATGTATAAAGAAATCTATAAAAAATAATATTTTTTTTTTTATAAATCTATTCTAAATTATAGATAAAAAGTGCAATATGTCCAATAGTATTTTAATATTTTATAATATTTGTATTTAATACTTATTTATTATTTTAATCCATATGTATAAGAAAATCTATAAAAAATAATATTTTTTTATTGAATACAAAACTCTTTTTTCTCTCGCGACGAAAACGATCCTCTTGAATCGTCGCCCCTTGGTCTCCTGCTTGCGCTTCCTGTTCTCCCCCGACGGATGTCCGGGATTGTCGGAGAATGTGCTCCACCATTCACCCACGATTCGGCCTTGTCCCTCCGTTCCCTTCGCAATCAGATTTTCTAGGGTTAGCAGATCCCCTTTCTGTGTACGCCATTCAAGAGGTTCGACAGGCTTGGGATGAACGGAGGACGGCGGCAGGTGAGTGGGTGAGGTCTTGGTCGCTGTGGTCGTACTGATTGGCTCGGTACTTCACACTGGATTTAAGGTACGCTCGATTGGCCTTCGGACCTATCTCGCCGTCGATCAACACGGGTCTGTTCCGCCGGCGTTTTGGCGACTGTGGGAGGTGAGTTTTTCACTGGCTTCTGAATATTGTATGACGGCTGCCTTCTACTTTTGCCGATTTGTCTCCGTTTGTTTTTGGTTGTGGTCAACGGGTACCTTATCTATTCTGGCGGGTCGTGGCTGTTTCTATCGGTCTGGGTGGGGCGGCTGGGCTTGGAACTGACACTTCCCCTTTTTTCGGCTATGTCTCGAGTATTGAGTGTCTGTCCAACTTCCAGATGCGATGAGGTTTCGGTGATTTCGGGTTGGCTATGCACTCGGCTTGTGGTGTTTGCTGGGTTGGGGATGAGTCGAGTACGGTGGTATTCCTTCTTTGCGTGTGGTTTCTGTGGTTGGAGTGAGGGTATGCTATTGGGAGTGTTCCGGGGCTTGGGTCTCCGTGTTCGCTAGGCCTTTGGCAGTGGTGAGCGGGGCTCCTGTGCTTTGAATTAATCCTGTAGTAGGCTTGTTCGAAGGCAATTTTGGAGGCTCTGCTGAGGGAGGGATGTTAATTAGTTGTAGCTTGTTTAGGTGTTTTTTAAGTTTCTGGGTTGGTTGTGTTGTTCTCTTTGTTGTCTCGTGTTTTTGGTCTGGGCCGTTTGGCCTCTGTGAACCCTGTGAACCCGAGTGTCACCTTATTATCCCATTGGGATCCGACACTTTGGTATTACTCTGTTGGAGTCATTTTAGTTGTTGTTAGTTGTTGTTAGTTGTTTTAGTTGGTTAGTTGTAGTTGCGAGTTTTATTCTAGCGTTGCTAGTCGGGACTCTAGGCGGTCTTCTGACCTGTCCTCCCACTTTTTTCAGCTGTTGGCTGCTGTGTATTCAGTCGTTGGCTGCTGTGTATCCGCACATTTGTGCATTTTGTTTTATAATATAATCTATCGTTTTGGGAAAAAAAATTTTATAGATTTGACCCTTGATCTAAATTGAAACATAATAAAACTTCAATAAATTATGAATAGGACCTTAAAAAATATCAAAATTTCATAAGACAACCCCACCCCAATTGAATAATTTTCCGGCCAAATCCAAGACCTCCACTTCATCTCGTCGACTGTAAAATCGACTGAATTCTTCCCGGCCAAGACCCCGCCGGTTGGTTTTGTTGTTTCCGTCGTTTTAAATAATAATGTCGACATATAATCGAAATATTTAAATTTTTGAAAGTACAAAAATCGATAATTAAATTGAAACATAAAAAATCCGAACCGAACAAATCTTAGTTCGGTCGTTCTCAGTCACTAGTGTGCAGTCTAATATACATTAATGTGCAACTTGTCTAACACTATTGTGCACTTTCTCTGTTGCTTTTGTGCAACGTGAATTAAAACTAATGTTCATTATGTGGTGTATTTTACCGGTTAATGTGCATTTAATATTGTGCAATCTAGCTAGTAGTCATTAGTGTGCAATTCGTATAACCATAATGTATACACACGATGCATCAAAAAATAAAAATAAATAATAATAATAATAATGATAATTTTCACGTCGATATTGCATATTGTGCAACCTATTAGTCATTAATGTGCATTTCTCTTAACACAATTGTGCAATCGCAGTGCATGTACTTTTTATGATCTTGTCCCAAGCCAAAATAAAGCTGAACAGAATTGTTAGTTTATTTTGATTGGATAACTGAATTAACATAAATAATTAAAATAATTAATAAATTATATTTAGTAGTTTAATTTTTTGTTAATATTTTTTTATATACTTTTTGTTGTAAAGACCAAAAATATACAAATAAAAAAATAATATTTTTATATAGTTGGATTGTTTCGATCTTTTTAAAAAATAAATGAGATATCAAATCAAATTAACAAAAATTTTAAAAGGAAAACTAAATAATCAAACTATAATATAGAACGGACCCAAAATCTCAGTTGGTCGATTTCGATCAATATGGTGCAATCTGTCAGTTATTAATGTGAAATCCGTCTATTATTAATGTGCATTTTGTTTAACAATATTGTGCGTTATGCAATGTGAGTTATGACCAATATACTATATTATACAATCTAATGTACAATATTTGTTTAACAATTTTTATTTCATATTTTTTATTTATTATTTTAATATACATGTATAAAAAAATTATGTGAAAATTAATCAAAATTTACAAATCACTGTGAAAGGGATTTTCGAGCATATCCTCGAGGCTTATTCACAAAGTCCCTTTTATTTTTTTTTATTTTTATTTTTATTTTTTTATTTTTTATCGAAACGGCAGAGGTATTATAATCTCAGAAAATGAACAATGTTCGAATATATCGACATAGACAAAGACACAAAGCCTGAATAATAAGACTGGGAGGACACGCATGCAAGCGGCCTAGAACTCAAACAACCTAAACAATGTACAACCGAAGAAAGCCATATTAACCACTGCATCAACTGCCTAGCAATATAGCTAACTCTACATCTAAAACTAAAGAAAAACAAACAAAGAACAAAATAAAGCAACACAACACCTAAAAAATAGAAAAACCATATCAAGCCCGTAGATTTGAAAATTCAAGCCATTCCCTGTGTGCCATCTTGATTACAACTGGAATAGGCATAAATGTCTGCTCAAATAGCCAGAGGTTGCGCGATTTCCAGAGCCACCATAATAGGTATGCAGATAGCTGAATTCTATCCTCGGCAACTGGATTTTTGTCTATAGAGCAAATATCCCACCACCAAGCCTTGAAAGAACAATTTTCCATGCCTGCCACGTCCCAGTTAACAGGTCCTTTCTATTTGATCTGTAGGTTTCGATCAATATGGTGCAATCTGTCAGTTATTAATGTGAAATCCGTCTATTATTAATGTGCATTTTGTTTAACAATATTGTGCGTTATGCAATGTGAGTTATAACCAATATACTATATTATACAATCTAATGTACAATATTTGTTTAACAATTTTTATTTCATATTTTTTATTTATTATTTTAATATACCCAGACGACCGTCTCGACGAGAGCTTTCCATCGCTGCCGACGTCGCTGGAATCCAACGCCGCACGCGCCCTCACGCGCCGCCGGAAGGTGCCTAGCAGCAAAATCTCGTTTTGATCTGTTTGCATCCGTTTGATCCGATTTTGATCTGATCTTGTTCGTGCGACCCAAGACGTGATTTGCGGTCAATCAATTGCGGTCAACCGTTCGTGGTCAGCCAGATCTACATAAATTTTAAGCCGTAAGTTCTTTACGTCAAACCTTTAGATCCGCTGCGCATAGGTTTACGTTTGCTATTGAATTCTTGATTTGTACATAACGAGATCCTCACAGATCCCAACACCACGTACACCTCATTTTCTGCATTTTGTTAGTCACCCAAATAATAATTCCGGACATATCCACATACACCACAATCTCAGCAATATTTCGCCCAGAATATTCAAACAATGAACATTACTCCAAAAAAGAATGCTAAGAGACTCAATGTTTCATTATATTGAGTCAGTCGAACTTGACCACTCACAAGAGTTGGGATTAATTTTATACCTGAAAGTCGAGAATGCCACTCCCAATTATCCTACGTCTCCAGGAGAGAATGATTTCTGCCTCTGAAATTGCCACCTACGATCGGCACCATCCAGACTCGTCCCTCATTATCACCCTGCTTTGATGGATCCACGCTCGCTCATTTTGTCCTCGAAACTCCACAACTCGTCCACCATAGCTTGTCGAGGCTCGGGTTATTTCGATGTTTCCTCGACAAGAATTCAAAGAGATACTATTATCCACATTATATTCACGTCGTCCATTTTGCAATTTTTCACGCAAGAAAAACAAGAGATCACATACAAACATCACCATCTCCTCGATTTAAGGCATGCTCGGGCAATGACATGCTTAAAAAATTATGAACAGTCAATTCAAACACAATCACAAGATATCCGCGATTCGAAACCACGACCCGCATTTATATTCAATCAAATAAATTCTCCACGAATAAGTCAAACAATGTCTCCACGAGCAAATCAAATAATTACATGATCGAATCCAATATCACCACGAACAAATCAAATATCTCCAAGATTAAATCACATAATTCTCCATGAATACTCCAAATAATATCTCCTCGCCCAAATCAAATAATATCGACGAATAAATCACATAATCTCCTCGAGTAAGTCAAATAATTCCATGGATATATCAAATAGTTCCTCGTGATAAATTCAATAACACACCACAAATAAACTCCACGCATGAGTCAAATAATACTCCACAAATAAATCGAATATTGCTCCACAAGCAAATCAAATTATTTCTCCAATTCCACCAATTTAAAAATCCCTCAGACCAATAATTTAAATTAACTCCATACCTTCATCGTGAGAATATTATCTCAAATTACCTCTCCGTGCGCGTCGAATCATCCCGAATTAGTCTTGAGCACAAAATGGGGCTGTTGGACCAAGTTGGTAGCATTCTGGGCTGCTGTAGAGGACTTGGACGCGTCATGGGCCGCGCTGTATGTTTGGGCCGCTCACAAGCTGATGCTGGGCCGACTTCTGGGCCGAACGCGGGCTGCTGTAGGGGCTTATCACGGGCTAGGATCTTGCTGAAGCGCGGGCTTGGACGCGGGCTAGGGGCGGGCCAGGGCGTGGGCTCATCGCGGGCCGAGCGCTGTGAACAAAACGGGCCACGCGGGCTGGGCTGGCCCGCGCCTTCCTTTCCTCCACTGCTGGGCTGTCAATGTGGATTTCTCCACTGAGCTTCAAGATGGGCCACGAGTTGGGCATTTCATGGATGCAGCTTCCACGGACGTGGGCCATCATCTGGGCTCCCTCCAGTCGGGCCGTGCACTGAGCTAAGGTGTGGAGACGGGCTGGG